TTGTAGTGCTGAAGTTTTCAGTACGTTTATAGAGCTTAGTTTTCTTTTTATGTCCAAAGAGTTTTACTTTCTCACAGGGCTTTGAACCGATTTGTTCCACTTCGAACCCCTTCTGAGAATTTGCATTTCCAGCCCAGATATACTGAATTAGAATCTGTAGTTTAACAAGACCCCCAGGTGATTCTTATGTATAATAAATTTGGAGAACTGCTACTTTACTGGTGGTTCTCAGAATTGGTCTCTAACCAGCAACATTAGCATCACCTGGGAACTTGTTAGAAATGCAAATTCTCAGCCGGGCTTCCTTCTGGTTCAAAGTCTTGCTTTCTTACTTCTTTCAAATTAGAAGGAAGGAAAGACTTCAGTAATAGGTTATATTAGTCTGTTTCTTTTTGTTTCAGTTGATTCTCTGTTATAGCCTATAGTAACTTCTAGTCGCCTTCACTATACACACACATACACACACACACACATACACATACACACACACACACACACACAGTTTTGTTGTTCTCTGGAGTTTAGTGCTTAGGTCTCTTAAATCCTCCACGTATCTACCTGGGCAATCATAATCATTTCTGTGATTTTACTGAGTATTTTTACATTGATGATTCTCAAATGTATTTCTTTAGTTCTGCCTTTAAAAAATTATTAAGACAAAATTCATCATCCTAACCATTTCAAAATGTACAATTGAGTGGTTTTTGATATATTCACAGCATTGTGCAACCATTACCACTATCTAATTACAGAATATTTTTATAACCCCAATAAGAAACCCTGTACCCATTAAGCAGTCACTCTGCATTTTTCCCTTTCCCCTAGGCCCTTACACTCAATAATCAGCTTTCTGTCTCTATGGATTTGCCTATTCTGGACATTTCATATGAGTGGATTCACCTAATATGGGACCTCTTGATTCTGGCATCTTTCACTTAGCAGAATGTTTTCAATGTTCATCATTGTACCATGTTTCAGTACTTAATTTCTCGTTATGGCTGAATAATACTTCATGTATGGATATACCACATTTTATTTATTCATTCATACCTTGATGGACGTTTGAGTTGTTTCCTGCTTTTGGCTATCGTGAATAGTGCTGCTGTGAACATTTCGTATACAAGTATTTGTAGGAATGGAATTGCTGATTCATATGATAGCTTTATGTTTCACTTTTTGAGGAAGTGCCAAACTGTTCTCCACAGTGGCTACACCATTTATATTCCCACCAGCAATGTGCAGGGGTTCCAGTTTCTCCACATCCTCACCAACAGTTGTTATTTTCCATGTTTTGACAATAGCCATCCTAGTGGAGGTGAAGTGGTATCTTACTGTGGTTTTGATTTGCATTTCTCTAATGCCTAATGATGGTAAACATCTTTTCATGTGCTTGTTGGCCATTTGTATATCTTCTTTGGAGAAATGTTTATTCATGTCCTTTGCCCATGTTTTAATTGGGTTGTTTGTCTTTTTGTTGTTGTGAGGAAGAGTTCTCTATATACTCTGGACACAGCTCCCTATCAGATGCATGATTTGCAAATATTGTCTCCCATTCTGTGGGTTGTGTTTTCACTTTATTGGTAGTGTCCTGTGATGCACAAAAGTTTTAAATTTTAATGAAGTCCAGTTTATCTATTTTATTTTTTTCTCTTGTTCATGCTTTTGGTGTTGTATTTTAAGAAGGTCTTATTTTTTCCTATATGATCTAAAAGACAGATGCATAAAGCAGTCATTCTATATCTATCTTAATGGGCACACAATGTATAAAGATATAATCTGTGTTCTCAGAGCTCTGCCAGAGGGAAAGACCTGATGCCACTCACAATATGAAGTGTTCAAACTGCCCTAGTTCAGGCCAAAACCAGATTAGATACGAAAGATCAGCCCCTCACCCAAGCTGTGTGACCACAGGGCAGGCCTTTTCACTGAGAAACTATTATCTACTTCAGTCTCAACAGCTTTATTTTAAAAACACTTGATACTCAATTACAAATGAAGAGAATTGTGATGATACAGGAAAATGAATCCCATGATTAAAATAAAAAAGTCATTAGAAGCAGATTTACACTTGTTAACCGTGACAAGAACTGTACAATTATTGTTACAAATGACAGTTACCACTCTCAATTGCTATTAGTATTACTAGTTACTAATAGTATTATCTATTTCTAATATTATTATAGATAATGATTATTATTTAAACTTAGTAAATTGAAATAGAAATTAGATGAAAAGATGAACAAAATCTATGAAAATATACAGAATGTCAATAGCAGAGAAGTAGAGACTACAAAAAATAACTAAATGCAAAATTTTTTTTTTGCTTTAGTATTTCTGTCCTAAATTTTTTTCTAAATTTTATTATTTTGTTGTTGTTGAGAATATGAACAGCAAAACATACACCGATTCAATAGTTTGTGTGTACCATTTAATGACATTGATTACATTCTACGAGTTGTGTAACCATTCTCACCCTCCTTTTCTGTGGTGTTCCTCCCTCATTAACATAAACTCACTGCCCCCTAAGGTTCCTATCTAATCTTTTGAGTTGCTGTTGTCAGTTTGATCCCGTATAGATAGTTCTTAAAAGAGCATAATGCTTAAGGCAGACCTTTGTTATTAGTTAAGCTAAACTATTGTTTGGTTTTAAGATGAATTCAGGGGATATTTTTGCTTTAAGATTTAAAGGTTATCTCATGGCAGTAGTTTCAGGGGTTCATCCAACCTTCATGGCTCCAGGAAGTCTGGAATCCATAAGAATTTTAAATTCTGTTCTGCATTTTCCCTCTTTTGATCATGATTCTCCTATGGAATCTTTGATCAAAATGTTTAGTAATGGTAGCCAGGCACCATCCAGTTCTGGTCTCATGGCAAAGGAGACAGTTGTTTTGTTCATGGGGACAATTAGTCACACATTCCATATCCTCCTTCTATTCCTGACTCTCGTTCCTCTGTTTCTCCAGGTGAGTAGAGACCAGTTATGTGCACTGGATGGCCACTTGGTAAATGCAAATTTTACACCTGAGGATAGTAGAGTCTGTGCAGCTAAACTGGTAGTTTTCAAACTGCAATGTGCATGAGAATCTCCTGGTGTTAGAATAGTATCATTGTTATCAGTAGCCCAGCAATCTGTATTCTAACCAAGCCCCCTAGGTGATTTCAGTGACAGGTAGTTCTTGGACCTGACTTTGAGAAACAGTGGTGTGGCCTGTTCTCTATGTGAGTTTTGATGTTAATGAAAGGAGTGAGTGTGACCCTTTTATCTGTGTCAGTGTCAATTCAGGTTAGGGTTTTTGTTTGTTTTAGGATGGGAGATACTTATAAATGCTTATAAGTTGCTGGACATGTGCCCAAAGTAAGGGAACAGAAGAGTGAGAGGAGGAAAAAGAAGTGGACGGGGAGAAGGGAAAAGAGAGGTTGGTAAGTGGATTGAGAAGAGGTCAAAGAGAGGGTGAGAAAATGAGCATGAGAAGAGAAACATTTATTGAGGAGAGATACAAAACTGAATGAGTGCTATCTTGGAAAAGAGTTGGAATAAAGAGCACAGAAAGAGGGATTCTCCTTGACTAGGAGAAGGGCTGCATTTTCTATTGAGGGCAATGGGGCTGAGCATGATTGTGGGTATTGTAAATATGCAGGCTGAGAGAACGATGTTGAGGGGGTTCACTTCTGATAGTCTGAGTCTTCTCTATGAAGAAGGAGGCAAGGCATAGAGACAAGACAAGTTGGATGTGGAGCTTGAGGGAGGTTTGCAGGGATCAGGAGAGGGAGCTGACTGCAGAGATGCCAGGGTTTAGCAGAGGTTGGAGGCTAGACATTTCAGTGGCACCAGTCCCTTTGGTTGTATGGTGTTTCTTCTGAAGTGATTTAAGGTAAGAGCAGCAGAACATGTGAGTGACTTGTATGTTAACAAATGATGACATATTAAAAAAAAGTAAGAACATTTTTAATGGTATTAATTTGATATTGACCTGTGAGAAATATGAATTTGTATAAATAATTTTTAGTCTTGGTTCAAGTTCTGTGTGTTTCTAAGACTTTATAAGCAGCTGGGTGACAGATACACTAAAATTCTGATCTTTAAAAATGCAGTACACCTATAACATTGTGAAAGGATAAAACCAAATCCATTGCCATTGAGTCAATTCCAACTCGTAGTGACCCTATAGGACAGGGTAGAACTGCCCCACAGGGTTTCCAAGGCCGTAATCTTTAGCGGGAGCTAACAGCAGGTCTTTCTCCTGCGGAAAAGAACAGAGCAGCTGGTGGGTCATACCACTGAGTTTTCAGTTAGCAGCTGAGCACTTAACCACTGTGCCACCAGGGCTGCTTTGTGAAAGGATAAGTAACAACATAGTCAATAGCTGTCAATTTTTAGAAGTCTAAGGATCTGTAAAGCCGAAGACATTTTAGATTTAATTCAAAGTTTTATAGCACAAAGACATTGTTTCTTCCAGGAATTACATCTTTGGATCCTTATAGCTACCTAATTGCAGGAATTTTGTTTTCTAACGAGAAATGTTCTCTTGATTGTTCTGTTTTTGACAGTTTTGTCTAAAGTATGTGTCAAACTCATTGAAACTTTTTCTTTTATTTTAGCTAGCTGGGAAAAAACAATATATTTTAGCCAATTTAAAATTAGTTCAATTTTTTAAATGATGAGTGATTAAAAATATGTTTAATATATGCCTTTCTTTAATATATCCCGTTTCCAACTTTTAATTTCATATTATTGGGTGGCAGTGCCAATATTCATTTATGTATTTTTAAACATAATTGCTACTTGTCTTTTACATCTATACCCTATTTGGTATTTTAACTGTGCTTTCCTTGAAAAGTCTTATTTTGAGAAGGGAATCTTTTCTGCCATTTCCATGTAGCTCATATATTTCTGGTACAGTTAGTTTTCTGTCCAGCCAGGAAAATAGCCCATTAAGCTCATTGCTCTTGTTTTGTGGTTGATTTTTTTCCCCCTTGCATGTATAGGAAATGCTTGGAACTTCTTCGCATTTTCCACACTCAGCTGGCTCTGAGACTGCTGCAGTGTCTGCGAGTGACAGATGCCCCCCATTTCTATGGCCTACCTTCCCTGGAGCGGACCCTGCGGGGCATGGCACACCTCACTGCAGCTCCAGGCTGGAGTGCCCACTCTCCACTGACAAAGCCGCTTGACATTTGTGCCAAGTACTTGTCAGGTCTGCTTGAGGTGAGTGAAAATAGCACACGGCTATAACAAGAGTAACAACCCCCCAAGTATGAGCTTTCTACTATTTGTGGACTGCTTCCTATGTGCCAGGCACCACATTAAGTGCATTGTGACCAGGTAGCTTGTCATCCATGTTGTAGTCATCTTGCCGCTTTTATTTCAGTGCCTCTCATGCAAGGGATACAGGAGCTGGCTCCTGTGACTGCTCTTGCTTTTGTTGCGTATGCAAGCAGTACTGAATCTGAAAGGGCTTGTTGTTTTCTTACTGGCCAAATCCGTCAGCCTCTCTCTGCCTTGAAGGTTTCAGTGATAGCCAGAGGTTGGGGTCCTTAACTGTGCTAGCTTTCAGGGAAGACTCTTGGGGGAGACAATATAGAGCTGGATTTTGAAAGCTGAGTTTAAATTGATAGGTAGACATTGGCATTCTAGGCGTGGAATGTTTTGAGCAAATGTACACTTAGCTTCCTCTTCCTTTTCACGCTGCATGTTTACTTCCCATCATGCCATCTGCACCACTGCCAGCCCTCCTTCAGAAACAGAAACCTTTCTACCCAAACCTCTTTTTGCAAGTGCTTAAGACTCTTTACTACATCTCTGAAGTTTCAGTCATATCTGGCCATTCTCAGGAAATTTAAAAAAAAAAAAAAAACCTTAAAAAAATCGATTTCTCTCACATACACACTTCTTCTCTTGTTTGGATGGCCATCTCTGACACAAAGTTTGAGGTCTAACTTATTCATTTATCAGCCTATAGTAAGCCTTTTCTTGTTGTTCTAGACATAGACACTTAATAAGTATTATTTGACCGACTGTTCTCTTCAGTAGGTTTGTACCTGTAGCAGTTTATATATACCACTATTATGACACTTAGCATGTTATGTATTAATTTTGCTTTATGTGTCTATCTGCTAGTAGACTGTGAGCTTGGGAGAATCGTCTTTTGGCCATTTCCACTGCCCTTGGCTACTCCTTGTCCTGGCATAGCGACTTGTACATAGTGGACAAATAGTGAATAATTTAATTAAGATGCATCTTACATATTATTTTCCAGTTAGAATACAGTTTGAATAACATTGGAAATATAGCATAACTGAATGTAAATGATGTGTGTTTAATTTTTGTATTCATTATTAAATCATGCTTCAGATTATATTGTTGGTAATTTTTTTCCCCAAAGGCCCATAATCTTGTTTTTTAAAAAAGATTTCAAAGTTCCAAACACTCTTAGCTATTTATAAAGTTTAATATGAATTTGAGTGTAGCCACTTTAATAAAATAGATTTTATTCTTGCTTGAATAATTCAGAATACTAAAAAAGGGCAAACTTGGCCGTATTTTAATTAGTTATCTCATGCTTCAAAGTGTTCCATTATCAGAAACGTATGAATTTTTAAAGCATATATATTAGCTAAAGAATTAACAATAATGTTTTTTTAAAAAGACAGCTCCTCTAATGTACTTAAAATATAATTCAAATTACAAGTGCCTAACTTATAGCATTATTTGTAAATACTGTTATTTATAAACCTTTATGGAGCACATCTTTTCTATAAAGTGATTTTTATCTGTTTCAGATCAGGGATATGTGAGGACCTGCCACAGCAGTAATTGAAGAAGAAGCTAAGCATTGTGTTGTTTTATATTTAGAAACTATCAGAAGTACTTTTGTTTTTAAAACTGTGTAAGAGAAGAGACTTCAGATCACATCTCTGTTTCAAATAACAGAAATTTAAAATCAACTTTTTATGGTACTGGAGAACAAAAAGGCTTAGTTTTAGGTAAGAAGTAGGGGGAAAAGGCAATAATCTTTGAGGTAATAAAAATCAGCATAGTGTATTAGCTAAGGAATAGGTAAAAAGTACAATTCCTGTTTTATAATGTTCCACCGTTAGTCAAAATCTGATGAATGAATCTTGATTTGGTATAAATAGAGGAGTCTGTTTCAGACTTCATAAAACATCTTGAGAAGAAAGTCCTTATGTCTTTACATTAAGTGACCAGAATCAATACAAAGAAATCTGTTACTTTTGATAGAAATCATTGCAAAATCACAATTAATCTTACTTGGGACCTCATGCTTAGTTTATTAATAAGCTAAGCCAGTGTCTTTATTTTATTGCAGACTGAATTCACCTTTTTAAAAATAAAGTAAGGTTTATATGAACCAGCTTCAAAATGAAGTACTCACTGGTCCATATGATTTGCTTCATAGTTTCCGATTAAGTAAAGCTGGCTTCCTTTTGAAAGGGAGCCACACTTCTGATATCATATTATTTGGTTTCTACATAGTGAAATTTGAATGCAGACTATTTGCTTTTGTAGTTGAGAAATGGAACTTATAAACTAAGCATGATTAATTTTGATAGTGAATTCAACTATGGTAACTAAGTCCTTAAAACCACATCTATGGTATATAATTCCAGAGATCTGACAAAAAGGTCACCTTGGAGGGAGATAGTAGTGAAGTTCTTTGCTTATCACTTACAAGCTGGAGATAAAATCATCACACAAAATGTTAGATATAACTGTCTCTCAGAGAAGGATAAGGACTTGGTTGTTTAGGTCTTTTATTTGTTGAAACGTATACATAGAAATTGCTAACACTACAAAAGTCTTGTTGACTACCAGGCTTATTCTAGACTTTCTAGAATTATGGTTTAAATGTAAACGGACGTTTTCCCCACTTCTGAGTGATCTTATATTTCTACTGCATACATCCACTCCTCATTAATCAACATGGTTAGGTTACGAAGATTAGGTCAGTGTGCAAAATCAGCATTCTGCAAGGAGGAGGAGGACCCAGTGGCGACCCCAGAGCCTGGACCTTTGGAACTGCTGTGCCCTTGGCACTGCTGTGTTCTGGACCCCAAAGCCCTGCTGCTGGTGCTTGAGTGGACCTGAGGTCCGGCGGCTAGGCTAGAGGCACAGTTGGTGGCCCTGGGGCTCAGGCAGCCAGCGGGGCCAGGGGTTAAGATGGTCAGTGGGGGTTTGCTGCCTGTGCCCATGTCCCCCGCAGCTGCCCCCTCTGCAGCTCCAGCTGCCTACTGCTGCCCTGCAGGCCGAGGAGGACCCCAAGAAAACGAGTGACATGCTGCTGGTCTTGGAGGTGCTGGAATTCGAGGCCGAGAGCCTGGAGACTAATAACTGCTTAGTAGAGGAGCTCAGCAGCCCAGGCCTTGAATTACCCTCAGTACCCTTCTTGCTGCAGGACTTGGTCCCTCCAGGGCACAAGAATAGGTGGGAGCAGCAGTAGCAACCTCTCCTGCCCCCGCCTCCTCCTGGGCCCCTCCAGCCCCTTGCGGGCCCTTTTAGGAAGGATTTCCTCAAAATCCACCTCAGTCTCCTTTTTCTCACGAAGAGCTGTAACCTGTAACGGTCGCTCTGGTGGTGGGAATGGGACTGGCAAGAGGCCTTCTGGAGAGCTGGTTGCTTCAGCTGTGAGCCTGACAGACATGGATGGCTTTGCGGGCCAGGAGCTGGACTCTGGGAGGAAACCTAGGTTAATGCACAAAATAGTTGGATAGTAGATTTTTTACTATTGTTGTAAATGCAAAATGTTGGATAAGGAGATAGTTGATAACTGAGGAGTAGGTGTACTTAAAATTAAATGGTTTCTTAAAGTTTTTAAACTTTTAATTATGAAAAATTTCAAAAATATACACGTGTAGAAAGAATAGTATACTACAGCCCATGTAGCATCACCAGCCAGCACTCATAGCTGTTAACCCACAGACAATCTTGTTTCATTTTTTAGGCATTTTAAATTATTCGCTTTGTGAAAATTCTAATTTAGATCAAAGCCTCCTAATTATGTATGAATAAATTGCTTTTATTAAATAAGCTATGGCTAACGTGATCTATGCCGTCATTTTTTTATGATCTGCTCTGCTACATGAGCTAAAAAAACCCAAACCAAAAAGGAGACTATTAAAGATAAAATGGCTTACATTAAAGAATTCTGTGATGAATATAAGCACTTAGAGTCTGGATGGATGAATTGAAATCTCTCTCTGTTGTATTAGTGCAGATAACAAGTAGTTTTGATTGCTTTGACTTAAACAGTTTTTTCCTTGAAAATGTGTTGGCAACTAAACGTAGTTAGCATTCTTGTTTGTTAAATTTTGTGAATTATAAGTGATCTTTGTCTCTTTGAATGTTTTTGTTGTTTAAGAGTTACAAAGCTACAAAGGTTGTTGTTATTCAGTTAGTTAACAGATATTTACTAAACCCTTATATGGGAGAGAAGGAAGGAGGGAGCAGAAGTGTACGATTTATACAGAAATGGTCCAATAGCGTTTTTATGTATATATGTAACTTTATTTTGTTGTTGAGAATATACACAGCAAAACATACATAGATTCAGCCATTTCTACATGTACCAGTTAACGGCATTGATTACATTCTTTCAGTTGTGTAACTATTCTCACCCTCCTTTTCTGTGTTGTTCTTCCCCCATTAACAAATTCACTGCCCTTTAAGGTTCCTAATC